TATATAAAGGGTCTACACTCTTTCTCACTGGTGTGTTAGCTTTAAAATCGTATTTACCTTCAAGTGTAAAACTCCAGATGGTAGTAGATTTTCCAAAGCGAGAGACAAAAATGGCGGACAGTGCAGCCGATTTTTCCTTTCCAGGGGGCGGAGCTTGAGGATAAAACACGACTAACTTGTTTCTTTTCAACATGATTTGTTCTAAAAGAATGAATATTCTTAAAGAATATGTGAAAATTAAAAGACAAAAATATGTTTAGATGTGAAATTTAAATTAGTCATGCTGGATATATGAAGTAATTCTATGCAAATTCAACAACCACCCTATTGCATTTTTTTCAGTGTGGGTCGCAGTGGTGGAAAATAGAGTTGTCTGGCTTTAATACCTTCTCCTCTCTTGGTAGTGGATCATTTGTCTCCTTGGGTCACTTCTTCTATGGTGAGTTAGATTGCTTCACTTCCTTGAAACATTTTTTCAGACTTCAGGGTGATGAATCATCAGATTACTCCCTGGTAAGAAGCGCCCACCCACACTCACTAGCAAAATGAGACGTGTTGAATTGGAAGCAAGAATTTCAGCATTTTCCTACTAGTGGGGTTAGTGAGCTAGTTGGTGCTAATTTAATAGGGACATACTGTACTTTACTACACCATAAACATATTAACACTCACAGTGTAAGTGACTTTGAAAGTTTTTAGTGGGGCACCTGATTTAAAATTTATAATTTAATGCAAACCGAGAGACATCCCAATTACATCTCACTTAGGACACATGATTCGAAGTCTCTTTTGTGCCAACAAATATCTCAGCATGTTTCTTTTTCAAGTACCCAACTATACCCCAAATCTACAATGTGGACATTGGGAAATTATGATTTAGAGTGTGAGTTGATAGAAAAATGGTGTTGTTTTATAATTATCAGCGCTTCCTTTATAGAAACTGATTGAATGGGAGGTGATGAAATTTGTCATGAGATTCATGATGCTGTGATCAGCAGTTTGTACATGTCTGCTTAAGTCAGACCAAACCCACAGGCCTCAGACAGGAAGTAGTGTCTTCCTGGTCAGTTAAGTTTGATTTTCATCTGCCTCCACTCTGGTTCTTGGATGAGCTCATGGCAGAGATCTCTTAATATCTGAATTATAGGTGAGTACATTTTTTGTTCCCACATCCTTGACTTAAAACACCTGTTCATTACTGTAAAATAATGTTGAATTAAACTTTTCAGTTTCTTTAAGACAAATAGGTCTCAGTTCCTGTTTAACATCTTTGCACATTTTTGATGACGCAGATCTATTCAGAGACTTGCTACATCCCTATTTAATGCACTGTTTTCAAAGCTGTAGTTTTGGGTAATGGACCTGTTAAACTTTAAACTTAATCAAAAATTAAAGTAAAAGATTCTTTTCTGTCTCAATTCTGTATCATCCAAACAAGTCATAATACCTACCGGACCCACTCTGAGTCTTATTCTGAGTTTTCTTTTTCTAACTGTAACCAAATGTTTTCTAATGCACCACTTCTTGGGTTTCTTTCTACAATAATTTAAAGTCTCTTCTTATGAAGTAAAGTTTATTGAAATAGCGTGAGTAATTTAAAGAAATACATTCATTTCTCATATAATTTCAATTGAAAAAGTACAGGGTCTCTACAGTAGCCTTTAATGCTTGGATGAGAAGCAGTAACCAAAACGTTTGTTTGGACTAGTGCTTGCATTATATTCATATATTTCTTTTCTCTTTTTTTTAAACATAAAATTAACAAGTCACATTAGATAGTAACAGATATTAATAAAATATTAGATAAAGAATTCATTAATTTCAATGTTTTTTTCTTTATATTTACAATACAGCAAAAAATACAGTATAATTACTGACACAGTACACTGCACTTGCTCCCAATTTTGTTCCATTACATTTCTCGTGTCTGTGTTTACCAGATTATATGTGCAACTTATTTTCCCCATTCAACAGTAGCAGACTTTATGCTTTGATTAGATTTTTTTTAATGACAATTATATTTATATAGTACTATATTACATCAAAACTGTATGTCGTTAGCACAGAAAATAAAGAAACACAAAAAGTAAGTTTACAATCCCGTAAGGCAGTGAAAAACATCAGAATGAAACAAAAACAGAACAGAACAAAAAAACGTAAATAAAAAGGTTTTTGAATGTCCACAATCCCTGAATGGTAAATGGCCTGTATTTGTATAGCACTTCACTTAGTCCCTAAGGACCCCAAAGCGTTTTACACTACATTCAGTCATCCACCCATTCACACACACATTCACACACTGGTGATGTCAGCTACATTGTAGCCACAGACACCCTGGGGCGCACTGACAGAGGCGAAGCTGCCGGACACTGGCACCACCGGGCCCTCTTGACCACCACCAGTAGGCAACGGGTGAAGTGTCTTGCCCAAGGACACAACAACCGAGACTGTTGGAGCCGGGGCTCGAACCGGCAACTTTCTGATTACAAGACGAACTGCCAACTCTTGAGCCACGATCGCCCGAAAACAACTTGGAAGCATACTTTTTTCTGATTCTGGTAGCAGTTCAAAGATCTCAAGCTTATTAGTTTGTGAAGAGATTTTAGATCATCAGAGAAAAGTGAGGACAAACAACTATCTGTCATATTCATAAGAATGGTGGAATATAGAGTTATTCTTTATGACAGCACCAAGTCGGAGCATGTAAATGTTAAACAGTAATGGACCAAGGACAGACCCTTGAGGAACCCCTGAATAAAGTTTTATTTTTTCAAATCTAAAACTGATGACTGAAAAATAAACACTTCCACCCTTTGGATACGATGTGAGCCAATCACCACATAGAACCACTAGAAACCACGTAGAATCACTAGTGATCAATCTTTGCTCACTAGTGATTCTATGTGGTTTTTCTTGAAGTGGTGTGGTTACCTCACATATAAAGGAGGCAGGGAAAATGTCTGACTTTAGGAAGATGTTAAACTTCTTTTAGATCTTCAGATTATTATCAGTAGTATTAAAAGCAGTAGTAGTATTAATAGTTTATCAGGGATTAATCGATTATCAGTGAATAAAATAAAAGCAGAATTAGACTGGTTATTGTTTACCAGTTGGGAGATGTAGGATTGTCTGGCTGATTTGTTTTTCAGTGTTACAGCAGTAGATTTTTTTATAGACTATAAAATTGGTTTGTAAATTGTGGATTGCATACATTAATAGATTTTTACAGGAGTGATGTGGTCAATAGTTTGATAAATTGCATGAAAGTTGTCCATCATTTAATCACATAATAACAGGACAAGTAATGTGCAATTTGAAAAAGGTTCACTATTTTCTTTCAAACAGCCATATCACAGTCTAACAGGAGGATATAAGATAAGATAAAACTTTATTAATCCCTCGGGTGGGTTCCTCTGGGAAATTCGGATATATAGTACTTGTTATGGGTGGGATGGGGGGTTCATGAGGAGCAGCCCCAAAAGCAGACTTGGGAGAGAAAACGAAGTATAACAAAAGGCGAGCTCTTTATTTAAGGCTGATATCCAAGCAGAAAAACAAGGCAAGGCAAACTGAGGCAAAAGACTGAACTGAAACCTAAACTGGGATCAACTAAAGCTAAACATGTAAACTATGACATGAACATGAACATGGCCTGAACAGGATCATGCAAAACTATGACATGAGGTAAGCAAACAAGAGCATGACCATGATGTCATGATCCTGGGTCATTTGATCCACCGTTTTGAATTTTAATGTATTTTGACGTTTATGGTTTATTTTTAAGTTCTTCAGGTTATCTAAGTTCATTTCTATTATGCTTGGGTTGCCGTTATAGTTTGTTTTTTCTGAGATTCCCCTCGTGTCTTCACCCCTGTGATTATGTCTCAAGTCTGACAAGACAAATTACACAGAGGAGAAGAAAAGTCTAATAACTAAGGAGACATAGTAAGCAAAGTAAAGTAAAATTTAGTAAAAATATAGTAAGACAGCAGGAATAACGTCAACACTTTATAATGTCAAAAACTTTATGTTAAAACAAGTGACTTATGACAAGGAAATCACAAAGGAAATACAGTGGTCTCTTGCTATATCGCGGTTCGCCCGCCTAGCTGTTTCGTGGATTCTTTTTGTGTGCAATTTTGCATGCTTTTTTTTTGTACAGCACATTGTGTGCTGCGTCCTGATCGGCTGTACACCAAGCTAAGCACTAAGCTTGTCAAATTTACATAAATCTTCGATCGCTAGCAGTGTGACTCTGAAGTTCTGTACTGTATGTTTGTAGGTTTTCTCTCCAAGAAACACATCAATGTCGATGAAACTCTACTCCCATGTTCAGATCCTGAAAACAGGGTTTGATATTTGATTTCATTCTATAATACTAGACATATTGTTGTATGAAGGTTTGAACTTTGACAGTGTATAAAATAAAAGAGAAAAGTGTTAAAATGTTCATGCGTGTTTGAAAAAAGTGTATAAAGTGTGTAGTGAGGGGTTTTGCAGCCTTAAAACATATATAATAATTGTAAAAACAAAAGCTGGCTACTTTGTGGATTTCATTGCGGGTCATTTTTGGAACATAAGTCCCGCGATAAAAATGAGGGATCACTCTAATAAAAGTTTATGATGATCATAATTTTTTTGAACATCACAATAATATATTTCATAACTTGTTAATAATCAATTATCATATGACCACAAAATATGATCACTAATAATATGCCAATAGCATCGGGTGATGACTATAGGTGTTAAGACTGAAATTAAAACGATGGAACAATAATTCATAATGCTGTGCTGTTGCCATTTTAAGGAAAAAAAAATTTTTTTAGACCAAAATGTCTTTTTAAACAGCTGTTTTTGTGTGGTTGTGTGTTTGTAAGAAAATCTGTTGTCACGGTTCTGGGTCAGTATTGACCCAGCATTCTGAGTTCTGGTCTATTTCTGAATGAACGTTTTGTTTCTCTGGTGTTTTGTTGATGATGATGATTATTATTGTTTGAGTTCTATGTGTTATATTCGGTATGCCTGCTTATGAGTCTACGTCTGTGTCTCTGTCTGTCGTGTGCTTCCTGTTTTATTTTGTAGGTCTGTGTCCCATGTCAGTGCGTTCAGCTTTGTGCTCTCCCTGTATCATCAGTGTAATCAGCGTCAGCCGTGTCTCCCAGCTGTTTCCTCTTCGCTCCGTTCACCTCTTGTATTTAGTGTCTGTGTCTTCCCCTACTCGGTGTCGCGTCGTTAACGTCTGTTCATCCTCTTACCTCCTCCATGCTGTGTGTTTGTCATGTTCCGGTTCTCCAGCACCACTGTTTGTAAGTTTTTGTTCAGTTTTGTGAGTCATAGTTTATAGTCATAGCTCATGGTTTTGAAGTCTAAGGTGTTGTCATTTAGACCCAGAGTGGCTGCTGTGTGAAGATGCACCTGATTCTCAGAGTCAGGTGCATGCTGAGCATGCTGAGTTAGACATTGTGTAAGCCTTTGTAAGTTGATTCAGATTCTTTTTGAATGAAACTTTATTAGGTATTGTTTGTCTAAAAAAAGAAACATTTGCTTAAAATGACCACAGCACACCATTATTATTATTGAGTCATTTAAATTTCCATCTCACTATATACACACACACACACACACACACACACACACACACACACATATATAGAGATATATAGATATATATATAGAGATATCTCAAATCACTTTTATTGTCACATCACATGTGCAGGCACATTGGTACAGCACATGTGAGTGAAATTCTTGTGTGCGAGCTTCACAGGCAACAGAGTTGTGCATATGTATGTATGTGTGTGTGTGTGTGTGTGTGTGTGTGTGTGTGTACACACACACACACACACACACACACACACAGAAAAAGAGAAACAAAGTAGAAGAACATATTGTAAATTGGTCTGAGTAGAGTGTGTGTGAGTGTGATGAGGGATAGTCAGACCATGGCTCAGACTGGTGGGTGGGATAGTGATTTAAGTGTACTAACTGTGTTTTTCCTCCATATATCAAATTAGTTTTCAGCCATGGGAGACTGGTCTTACCTGCTGACACTGCTACACAAGGTCCAATCTCATTCAACTATAGTGGGCAAGATCTGGATGAGCGTCCTCTTCCTGTTCCGGATCTTTGTCCTAGGTGCTGCTGCAGACAATGTTTGGGCAGATGAAGTGTCAGAGTTCTACTGTGACACTCAGGAACCAGGATGTGAACATGCTTGCTACAACTGGAAGTTTCCAATATCCTTTGTACATTACTGGGTCCTGCAGATCACCTTTGTGTCAACTCCTACCCTTGTCTTTCTGGGATATGCTGTACACATAATTCATAAAGAGAAAAAAATGATGGAACAGCTGCAGGATGGTGTTGATGGAATTAAATTAAAGAAACGTAAATATACGGATGATCGTGGAAAGGTGAAGTTAAAAGGGACACTCTTTTGCACGTATGTGACACAGCTCTTTTTAAAGATCTTCCTGGAAGTTGGATTTAGTGTGAGCCAGTTTTTTATCTTTGGTTCTCCATTCATTCACTTAAAGTTCCACTGTAAAATGTCTCCTTGCGCCGAAATGGCTGGTGCCCAGTGTATGGTCTCCCGTCCCACAGAGAAAACGATCTTTATCTTTTTTATGCTTGCAGTTTCAGGCATTTCAGTACTCCTGAATATAATGGAGATCATTTACTTGTGCTGTACAAGGAGAAGAGATAACAGGAAACAGTTTTTATGTGAACAGTATGAACTCAGTTCACAGTATCAGCCATTCAGTGGAGCTGGCCAAAACACAAATCGCCCTCATGGAGGAGTTCCATTGTTCACTCCGCCAGCTCGTGCTAAGACGGGACTCAGCGCTAATGAGAACCACAGTGATTCCATCGTTAAAGAGAAGGATACCTGACAGAAAGGATCTCTGAGTAATTATACATAATCATTTGACAGAATCTGCTCTTATTGAACTTTTTGTAACTAACTTTAAACATAAGAGCCTTGTATGATGATTAGCAATATGAATTATTTCTGTTATGCATTGTTCAGAAATCTGTTTTTTTAATCCACTTTAAAAATATTTAACAATCATTAATAAAAAACTGATTATCATTCCACACTCTTCTTTGTACATTGACACTGGGCAGGATAGCCTATATTCTTGAAAGAAGGAAAAAGAATGTGGCTTAATTGCACAAGGCTGCTGATGTTCACTCCTCAGAGTTCCAACTCGAAATAAGTTCCCGGCTGACTCTACATCCCTTTATACCCTTCCCTCTTTTCAAACTTGTATTAGGGTTAGGGTTAGGATGAGTGTTTGGGCCCCTCCTCCAATTGGAGGCGGGCGGTGCACGGGCCATCCCTCGGTAAGGGGCCTGGACCTTGGATTGTCCACGGCGTCCGCCATGGCGCACCAGGGTCCAGTCAGAAGTCCATCCAACCATGGTGAGTTGGATGGAGGCGAGTGTTTTTTTTAATTGGTTTTTCTACCAAAGTTTAAATTAAATTTTTAAAGTAAATTTTTAAAGCTTTAACTGAAATATGTAATTTTTAACTTAAATTTTTAAAGAAATAAAATTAAAAAATGAATTGGTTTTGAAAAAAACCTTTTAGGTATTAAAGAAAAAATAAATCAAATTGTAATAGGCCAAAGAAATGAATTTGTGTGCCTATGTGGCAACGTTTCGACCTGTGAAGGTCTTCTTCAGGCCAGGCACACACAAAAATAAATGGGAAACAGGCTTGCTCTCAGAGGTCTGCTCTGTCCGATGGTTTGGAATGAAATGAGCAGCGAGTGCCATCCCCTTCTATTTATACCCTCCCACTTTTTTTCAGTTTGAATTTAGTTTTAGAAAGCCAAATTAGTGTTTTTACCTTTTCGCTTTTAATTTTTCGAATAGAATTTTTACAAATGTATTTTTTTAATCACTCCTCACTGGCAAAAACATATTTTTAGAAAGATTTTAATTTTTTAACCATGTAAATAATTTATAATCGTAGAAACAATTTTTTAACCATATTTAACCATGTCTACTGTATTTTTTTATTATTGTGTATGTAGTATTTTTTTGTAAGTCATGAATTGAGTGTTTTTAATTAATTGTAAGTAATTTTTATCCAGTAATTAGGGTTAGGGCCAAACAAAAAATATTTAATTATGAATTAGGGGTTAGGTTAGGGGAAATTGAAGGGTTAGGGGGTTAGGATGAGTGTTTGGGCCCCTCCTCCAATTGGAGGCGGGCGGTGCACGGGCCATCCCTCGGTAAGGGGCCTGGACCTTGGATTGTCCACGGCGTCCGCCATGGCGCACCAGGGTCCAGTCAGAAGTCCATCCAACCATGGTGAGTTGGATGGAGGCGAGTGTTTTTTTAATTGGTTTTTCTACCAAATTTTAAATTAAATTTTTAAAGTAAATTTTTAAAGCTTTAACTTAAATATGTAATTTTTAACTTAAATTTTTAAAGAAATAAAATAAAAAAATGAAGTGGTTTTGAAAAAAACCTTTTAGTTATTAAAGAAAAAAGAAATCAAATTACAATAGGCCAAATGAATATGAATTTGTGTGCCTATGTGGCAACGTTTCGACCTGTGAAGGTCTTCTTCAGGCCAGGCACACACAAAAAGAAATGGGAAACAGGCTTGCTCTCAGAGGTCTGCTCTGTCCGATGGTTTGGAATGAAATGAGCAGCGAGTGCCATCCCCTTCTATTTATACCCTCCCACTTTTTTTCAGTTTGAATTTAGTTTTAGAAAGCCAAATTAGTGTTTTTACCTTTTCGCTTTTAATTTTTCGAATAGAATTTTTACAAATGTAGTTTTTAATCACTCCTCACTGTCAAAAACATATTTTTAGAAAGATTTTAATTTTTTAACCATGTAAATAATTTATAATCGTAGAAACAATTTTTTAACCATATTTAACCATGTCTACTGTATTTTTTTATTATTGTGTATGTAGTATTTTTTTGTAAGTCATGAATTGAGTGTTTTTAATTAATTGTAAGTAATTTTTATCCAGAAATTAGGGTTAGGGCCAAATCAAAAAATATTTAATTATGAATTATGAACCCAATTAATTAGGGTTAAGGCCAGAACATCAAGTGGTTAGGGTTTGACACGTGGGTTGGGGCTAAAGTAAGGAATAGGGTTGGGGCCAGATTAAGGTTAATTAGGTTAGGGTTAGGGGGTGGGGAAAGGGTTAGGGTAGGGGGTTAGGGTTAGGGGGGGTAAGGATTGAAGAAAAAGAACCTGTCCCTCCCGAAGGAGGAACAGGGCGTGCACGGGCCATCAACCCCGATGGTCCACAGCCTCACATCCCTCTACCTCCATAAGTATTTTTTTATTTTCAAGGTAAGTATTTCTTTTACAGTTTTTTTCTTTTCAGGTAAGTACGGTTTTTGTTTTAAATTTCAAAAGGTAAGTATTTGTTTTTTACAGGTTCTCATTGTCCGTGTCCGTTACTTTGGCTCGTTTCCAATAAAGTATTTTCCATCCCAATTTGTTTTCTGTGTGGTCTTTAAATTTAGTTTTAACGTGTCTCTGATTTGAGCTTTTAAGGAAAACCAATAAAACATAAATTAAAACATGAAATAAAATCCCCCAAAAATAACAAACTAAAACAACAAACTAACGTAAAATAGAAAAAATTAAATGAGTATGCCCTTGTCGCGACGTTTCGAAGGTGTTGCTTCTTCCTCAGGCGAGGGCATACTGAAGAGCTCTGTATTTGAGGCTCCTATTTATACTCTCCCTCTGATCCCGCCTCCTTGGCTTTCTGTGGCTTTCTTATAATATCTTTTTAGCTTATTGCTTTTTTCCAATTCTGCCAGACTTTTTGGCTCTCATTTTTCCTTTTTCTTCCTTTCTTCTTTTCCAGTCTTTTCCTCTTTCCCCTTTTGACTTTTCCCTTTTCATCATCCTTTTCTTTCCCTCTCCTGTCCTCTGCCCATTACCCTTCCTTTTGGTCTACATCTGTCCTCTTTCTCTTCCGAATTTTGGGCTACTACAATGCCGACTTGGCTTTAATACTACTCTCTCAACCCTGCTTGGGGAGGACTCAACCCGACTTGGGGAGTAAATTTAGAAAGGAGATGTGACGTTGGGTTAGGCTTTAGGTTTCAGCTGGGGTTAGGATTACTCGGGCTTCAGATCCAGTACTGGGGTAAGGTTTAAGATTTCATTTCCAGGAAAGAAGTAGAATTAAAGTATCCAAATTTCAGGTTGTTTAGGGCCAGATTAGATCAGGGGGTAGATACAATAGGGCTAGATTCCAAATTAGGGTTAAGAAATTTTAGATAAACAAATTGGTTAGGGTTAGGTTAAATGACTGGGGTAGGGCATAGATGCTAGATTGAGCTTTAACTAGGAGTGAGACTGCAAGACCAACCGGAGCGAGGCACTGGCTGGTTAGGATTGAAGAAAAAGAACCTGTCCCTCCCGAAGGAGGAACAGGGCGTGCACGGGCCATCAACCCCGATGGTCCACAGCCTCACATCCCTCTACCTCCATAAGTATTTTTTTATTTTCAAGGTAAGTATTTCTTTTACAGTTTTTTTCTTTTCAGGTAAGTACGGTTTTTGTTTTAAATTTCAAAAGGTAAGTATTTGTTTTTTACAGGTTCTCATTGTCCGTGTCCGTTACTTTGGCTCGTTTCCAATAAAGTATTTTCCATCCCAATTTGTTTTCTGTGTGGTCTTTAAATTTAGTTTTAACGTGTCTCTGATTTGAGCTTTTAAGGAAAACCAATAAAACATAAATTAAAACATGAAATAAAATCCCCAAAATAACAAACTAAAACAACAAACTAACGTAAAATAGAAAAAATTAAATGAGTATGCCCTTGTCGCGACGTTTCGAAGGTGTTGCTTCTTCCTCAGGCGAGGGCATACTGAAGAGCTCTGTATTTGAGGCTCCTATTTATACTCTCCCTCTGATCCCGCCTCCTTGGCTTTCTGTGGCTTTCTTATAATATCTTTTTTAGCTTATTGCTTTTTTCCAATTCTGCCAGACTTTTTGGCTCTCATTTTTCCTTTTTTCTTCCTTTCTTCTTTTCCAGTCTTTTCCTCTTTCCCCTTTTGACTTTTCCCTTTTCATCATCCTTTTCTTTCCCTCTCCTGTCCTCTGCCCATTACCCTTCCTTTTGGTCTACATCTGTCCTCTTTCTCTTCCGAATTTTGGGCTACTACAATGCCGACTTGGCTTTAATACTACTCTCTCAACCCTGCTTGGGGAGGACTCAACCCGACTTGGGGAGTAAATTTAGAAAGGAGATGTGACGTTGGGTTAGGCTTTAGGTTTCAGCTGGGGTTAGGATTACTCGGGCTTCAGATCCAGTACTGGGGTAAGGTTTAAGATTTCATTTCCAGGAAAGAAGTAGAATTAAAGCATCCAAATTTCAGGTTGTTTAGGGCCAGATTAGATCAGGGGGTATATACAATAGGGCCAAAATCCAAATTTAGGTTGGGTAATTTGAGATAAACAAATTGGTTAGGGTTAGGTTAAATGACTGGGGTAGGGCATAGATGCTAGATTGAGCTTTAACTAGGAGTGAGACTGCAAGACCAACCGGAGCGAGGCACTGGCTGGTTAGGATTGAAGAAAAAGAACCTGTCCCTCCCGAAGGAGGAACAGGGCGTGCACGGGCCATCAACCCCGATGGTCCACAGCCTCACATCCCTCTACCTCCATAAGTATTTTTTATTTTCAAGGTAAGTATTTCTTTTACAGTTTTTTCTTTTCAGGTAAGTACGGTTTTTGTTTTAAATTTCAAAAGGTAAGTATTTGTTTTTTACAGGTTCTCATTGTCCGTGTCCGTTACTTTGGCTCGTTTCCAATAAAGTATTTTCCATCCCAATTTGTTTTCTGTGTGGTCTTTAAATTTAGTTTTAACGTGTCTCTGATTTGAGCTTTTAAGGAAAACCAATAAAAGATGAATTAAAACATGAAATAAAATCCCCCAAAATAACAAACTAAAACAACAAACTAACGTAAAATAGAAAAAATTAAATGAGTATGCCCTTGTCGCGACGTTTCGAAGGTGTTGCTTCTTCCTCAGGCGAGGGCATACTGAAGAGCTCTGTATTTGAGGCTCCTATTTATACTCTCCCTCTGATCCCGCCTCCTTGGCTTTCTGTGGCTTTCTTATAATATCTTTTTTAGCTTATTGCTTTTTTCCAATTCTGCCAGACTTTTTGGCTCTCATTTTTCCTTTTTTCTTCCTTTCTTCTTTTCCAGTCTTTTCCTCTTTCCCCTTTTGACTTTTCCCTTTTCATCATCCTTTTCTTTCCCTCT